CTTAAGATTATACATGCATAAATTCTCAAACATTTTCCAAAAAAAAGGGAAGAGGGAATACTTGATGATCGATAAAGGTTTTAACTTTACTTTGCAAAATGCCTCGGTACATTAACAGATGAAAGAAATAGAGCCCATGGTGCTCTTAATAAAGGTCCAAAGCCACTTGCTAAAATTCAAAATCCTACATCCTACAGCTTGAATGAAAGAGCCCTGGTGGCCAAGTGATTATGCACTTGGCTGCTAACCGAAGGGTCGGCAGTTCAAACCCACGAGCCGCTCTACCAGAGGAAAATGTGGTAGTCTGCTTTCCGTAAAGATTACAGCCTTGGAAACCCTATGGGGCTGTTCTACCCTGTCCTATAGGGTCACTATGAGTTGGAACAGACTCGACAGCAATGGGTTTGGTTTTTGGGGTTACAGCTTGAATGCTTGGTTCACTGTTAATATTTTTTTAATCTCATAAATGAATTTAAGGCTATGAAATGTTCACTCACTTTGGGCCCATCCAACAAGATGTGGTATGTGATGCTACGGTGCTCTCATCTCTAAACACTTTGCACTTGCTGGGATTTCCTCTTGAGCTGTAACTTTGAGGGGGTGTTTTGTTTTTGTTGTTTTTAATTTCCAACCAGACCAGGCTTTTGGCTCTACGTTTCTCAGTAACTTTGATTTTTATTGCATGATAATCAGAGAATGTGGCCTGTGGGAATTTTCTTCGTTTTGGAATTTGGTGAGGTTTTTGTTCTGCCATAAAACCTGGTCAGTTTTTGGGGCTGTCCCAAGATGTGCTGGCACCAAGTTCATATGTAGCTAATAGATGAAGTAGCTACGTCCTCCTTTCTTCATCTAGTTGATTTGCAAATTTCTGGGAGATGAGCATTGACTTATCCTGCTGTGACTGGGAATTACTTAATGTCTCATTGCATTTCCAAAAATGTAAACTTGCTATCTTTCAGAGCTATGCTGTTCGCCCAGTAAAGGTACATTTTATCTTCTTGCTGAATTATTCCTTCCATAAATATAAAAAATGCTTTTATCCATTTGATTGATCTTTTTTTTTTTTTTACCTTGAGTTCTATTGTGATTGACAATAATAATACCACTAGCTTTTTTTTTTTTTTTGGCTACTATTTCCCTGATATGTTTTTCTACCCTTATGTTTTCAAGTTTTTGTGTCACTTTAAGTGGTCTCTTATAATCTGAATATGCATGTTTGTCATGTATTTTTTAATTGAACTTGAGACTATCCATAAACTGCAGAATTTGGCCCATTCACACTTATTGTGATTAACAGTGTGAATTTACTCCTGCCATCTTATTTTATGCTTTATTGTTTTTCTTTCTCTTCCTGCTGCTTGTTGGATTTGATGGAGCTGTCCTGGTATGCGACATACACAGGGTTCACAGTGCTCTCCAGACACCATCTGTTTCCAGTGGTAACGCTGCCTGGCGAAAGGAGAAATAGGGCCTGCGGGTGTACCAGTGATGCCCTCCAGTTCCTTATCCGCAGGCCCTTAGAAGCACAACTTGCCCTTTGGACTAAGTCCCTGTGGATCTTCACCTTATCTCAGAAAAGGAGGAGGGGGGCAGGTAGAGACGGAAGAGTGCTGCAGTAAAAAGGACATTTCGGGGTCAGACAAGATGAAGCCTCCAGATGACTGATATAAACAGTAATAAGAGGTGTTATCCTCATTCTGTTCTCCAGACAAGCGAGACATAGAAATAACATACGGGAGAACAGGATACCAAGCGATGGGAACAGGCTTCTTGGACAGCCTCAGTCCAGCCCACACCAGCACTGGGGACCTCGCCCCGACTTTACAGTGAGAACTGCCCCCTCTGTGGCCGGGAGACAGAGGCAGGTATAGATTTAGTGTTCTCCGTTCACAGAACCGGTTCTTTCCACTTCCAGCCAGTCCCTCTGAAACACCCAGCTATCACCACCTACACAGCTTTAGTACATTGGCCAGGAAACGTTCCTCTTCAGCACATTATGTTCCATCCAGGCCCAGCCTATCCATAAAACCCGGGTCAACAACGCACGCATGTGTCTTTCATGTTATGCCAAAGCTTTTCCCTCTTTCTTCACCACACAGCACAGCACGGCATTATTATTTCTTCCATGCATTTCGCTCCAATGACCCCCCACTCTTCTGACCTCCAGGCGCCCCCCTCTGCCTCAGGTCTCTCTGCACAGTGAGTACCTGTGTGGCCAGATTAGCTGGTTCCCCTCAATCAGTGTTCTTTTATCTAGTAGTCACGAGCTTAATGAAAGCCCCCCCTTTAGAAAAACGCATAAACCCACATATACACAAAGTTTTGCATACAAATGAATAAGGTTTAGACCACCCTGAAGCTCACCTACAGATCCTAGGTTTAAAAACTCTATACCACCAACCAACCAAACCAAACTCAATGCCATCAAGCCGATTCCAACTCATAGCAATCCTAAAGGACAGAGTAGAACTGTGCCATAGGGTTTCCAAGAAGCAGCTGGTGGATTCAAACTGCTGACCTTTTGGTTAGCAGCCGAGCTGTTAACCACTGCGCCACCAGGGCTCCCTCTAAACACTCCCACCCTAATTCATGATGCAGAGAAGACCTAGACCACAGCCAGAAAAGAACTGAGAGGAGGAAGGAAACCAAGTGTCTTGAATTTCTTCCAGAAACAGAATTTAAGAAGTGTAACTGGCAGTGCACACACAAAACACCTAGCCTATAAAATATACACATTCATCTAAAATGCAGTAAGAGGAATCTATAGATGCTGTCATTTCACTCTAAAAATCTATCTCCTTTGCATACACCTGCGATCTGAACTATAAAACAGCATTGGTATGATAGTCATCTTCCACGGAAAGTTATGCCAGTTCTTGCTGACATGTACAATGACAAGGCCCTGGGTCCTTGGATCCCCTCACTGCCTGTTAACACTTTAAAATATAATAGGGGGTGATTTAAGAAAAACAACTCCTAAGGTTGCATTTCTATATGATCGTAAAATTATTCCACCTTATGTGCACTGGAGTGTAACAAAGCTGCCCGGAGCCCTCCCTGCCCTGGGGACCTGGGTAAACGTGGCTCAAGACCACATTAGCCCCGTGACTGTGAAAGCTGGACACTCTTTCAAAGAATCTGCACGGTCCTTGGGGTTTATGCTCTAGTGGCCACCCTCCCCCGCCCCATTTATTTACATGCGCTACTTACGTGGGCCCCATTTCGGTTTGGACACAGCACCCAGTTCTTTCATCAGTTTCCTTAAGAAATCTACTCACATCCAGCACCACGTGACTTCAGGGGGAGATTTTGTGGCTGTGTGGGTGCCTTAGTACTACCCTACCCCGCTGGCTCCCTCTCAACTCCCTTTTCAATTCTTCTTTCTGTCCCTGTCCCAGACTGCCCTGGGAGATTCACATTCTTCATTCTCTTATTAGGTGGAGCAACTCAGCTCGTTCCTGGTTCTACCCCATCTGATGTCCAAACCCGGCCCCGTGCTCAGCGGAACAGAGAACTCCAAATAACACGACTCATCTTCCTTAATAGCCAACCAGGACTAATGTTTTGGGGTTTTTGTTATTGTTATATTACTAAATGCTAGGTACCTTGTACATGTTTATTTAGCTCCTGCGACTATCTCAAGAGTTAGGCATTTTCAAAATCATTTTACAGGTGAGAGATCCAGGGTTCAGAGAAGTAAAGAAGCTGCAGAAGGTCACAGGGTGCTGTGTCACCTTCATTTTTCCCATCTCCTCTTATCTCTATCCCACAGCTCTTAACTAAGCATTGTTACCTGCGCTATTGCGGCTCTGGCCCTGTAGTGCTATCAACTTCTTCCTCATCTCTTCCCTAGAGGTTTGATTTTTACCACCGAGTATTTTTCCCATCTGCTCCTGATACTTTCCATCTACTTACTTTTTCAAATTCATGAATTGTACAGGAAAACTGCATGATAATTTTAAAAATTTAAATAACAGAACCAAGAGTTGGAAGGTCCCTTGGAAGGCAACACAGAGGATCTCTCTACAACTCCCTTGGGACGGCCGGCGATGGGCATGCCTGGGTGCTCACGACCTCACACTGGTGGGCACTCTTGACTTGATGGAGTTCTTCCTATCTTACAGAAAAAAGTTGTCACTTACTCCCAGGTTGGAAAGTGTGAAGGCACCCGACTCCTCTCACACCCCTAAATCCTAGCAGGCACCAGGAGTGGTCCATGGGCGACATGTGAGCCCACGTGTGCCCTCTCTTTCCCAGCCCCTCCCACTCCTCTTCCATCACAGGGCCAGCTTGGGCTGCTCTCACCTCAGGGGTGGGCTTGGAACAGACCTGCCCCTCAGAGCTGGTAGATGCCAAGCCACTGTCAGAGACCTTGCATGGAACACAGGTCACAACCTCAGCTAAGAGCACATCACGCCTTAACATGAATGGGTTAGTCACAAGGGACGAGAGCAGGCTTGCAGTGTCAAATGTCTACAGGCACCAGGCAGACAACAAACATGACCAAAGCGAGTCAGACTGGGAACGTGAATTAGTTGCCACAATTTTTATATGTAAAAATCTAGATTGTTAGTTTTCTCTTGAAAGAGTATGTGGGGCCCTTAGGCTGTGTTCCGTCACGGAAACACAGCTACAGCTGAGGTGGCTGTCCTTGCAGCAGGACAGACCTTCCCCAGCGTGCCATAATCTCGCTGTCCTCTTTATTCCTGACCTCATTTAGTCATGTTTCCCTGCTTGGTTTGTGACCGCTGGGCTGGGGTATTCTCACACCTTGGTCTGCCGGGGACAGTCCCAGTTCAGGCCTGTTGTCTTGATGTAAATACTGGTAACACACCCTTTACTCTCAAGTGCCCAGTTTGGACAATGAACTACGGTCACGCTAGGCATACTGCACAAGCCAATCCCCCCACACTCACTCGCACACATACACACACTCAACACTCTCTCATACACACACAAAATGGCCACCGAATCCACACAACCACATGTCAAGCACAGAACCCTGTTATAAAGTGATTTTATTAAATTGATTTGGACATATTGTAGGTCAAATAATATTTCCCGAAGATAACAATTATGGACTTTAAAGCTCGACATAAAATTAGTAGCTTCAAAAGTGTTAGTCATATTCCCCAGCAACAGCATGATAAAATAATTCAACTATGTAGAAATATAGAACTCTAGGACTAGCTGGAAACTCGGAGATCATTTAGCCTAATATCCTCATTGTGTAAGTGAGAAAACTAGACTCGAAGATTAAGCGAATTGCCCAAGCTCACATACCTAATAGTAATAAAGCTAGAAATCAAACCAATTTTTCCTAAAACTAAAATTCTATCAATGATATTTCAACTGGCTCTCTATCAACTAAGATCTAGGCTTTTCTCTAATGCTCCACACTGTTGTGACATGAAAGAGTGACAGACACTACAGGAAATCAAAGTCTCAGAATTCAGGCCTGGAAGGGGCTTTACTAAATAACTACGCCAGCCCTCTCTTTTTGAAAAGGAGGAGATGTTTGCAAAGTGACGTACCAAAAGCTGTTAGCAGAGATGTCTGGATTAGAACCCAGGCATCAACAAATTTACCCCAAAACCCCATCTCGAGGTGCATATTTCACCCACTAAAGCTGTGCTCCTTCTGGGCCTCCTTTATGCGCTGAGGTTTTAGTTATACAAAAGCCCCTTCCAGTCAAACAGAAGAAATTAATTCAAATATGGAGAGAAAAATCAAACTCTGTTTCAGTATTTCCATGATATTGTGAGTAGTTCATTTTCCAACCTCTTAGACAGCTGACAGACATCACTAACCTGATCACCCATTTCAGAGTGTCAAAGATCCTTAATTTCCCCAAAGACTTCCTGAGCAAAAGGACTACGTGAGGGAAATCAGTGAAAACAGGAATGAGAAGAAAAACAAAGGTAAAAACTGGTTGCTTTTTGTTCTTGTCATTGGGGACTTTTGGTCTTCTAAACATTCCTTGAGTTCCTCCACATGAGTTTTTAATATCAATCTAGCAAAAAAAAAAACCCAAAATGAAACAAACAAAAAAAAACCCCAGGCCTATAAAAGTCAGGATACTGAGCAACTCAGCACCCACCCCTCCCACTGCTTGCTACCCTCCTCCAGCTGCCGCTGGCCTTCCACCTGCCCTACCCCAGGCCTCGGCACGGCCAGCGGGGCCGCTCATCCCTCCGGTCTCAGCTTCACCCCTTGGAAAGGCCTTCCCTGACCGCTATCTAAGGTTGCCCCCACCCCCGCCCCCCAACACTCTAAATCATCACCCTATTTTATTTTCTTCATAGCACTTAATCACTATCTCAACTACATTAGTTATCTGTTTACTTATCATCTGTCTCCTCCACCAGAAGTAGACTCCATGAGAGCAGGGACCTTGTCTGTCTTACTCAGCGGTATTCCCAGCACCCCGCACAGTGCCTGGCACACAGGAGGCGTTCAGTAAATATTTGTTGAATGAATGAATGACGAAAGAAAAGAACGATGATTAACAACAGACAATCACGCCCAAAAAGGAACTGGTGCACAGTCCCCGATGAAGGGGTACAGAGGACGCCTATGCATTATTGCCCAAGATCACAGAAACAGGGACCAAGTTCTCCCGGTGACTCCTCCTACCACCCACTTTTCCCAAGGTCTCCTCCAGCTACGTCAGGAGCTCGTGTGTCACAAAAGGAGCCTGAGAGGGCAATTCTGGATGGAGACAAGTTATAACTTTGCTTGCTTCTTCCTCCCTGCTATTTACATTCAGCTATTTCCAAATAACTCAAGTTGAAAGCATGTGATGACACTAGAAAGTCAGTCTGACTAACATAGAGACACAGTGATTCGCAGGATCCACAGAAGCTTTTAAGTCCAAGGGCATGTATGTCTGCCAATGATTTCTCTGACAGGCCAAGTGGATGGATATTATGAGTCACCTAAAACCTAAAGTGAAATTTAATGCCATCTAGGAAGGGGTAGATATTTATGGGTACTTTGACGACATAAAGTAGGTTCAGAAATAATGGGATATGTGGAAGATATACAGGGGCTGAACTGAGTGGTAACCTCAGAAATGCCAGCACACTATCTTAGTGAGAGTTGTCCATTTTCAATTGCATTCACCAGTATGCTTGAATCAAGAGGAAGGGAGGGCAAGAGCCCCTAAAGGGGGAAGTATTAGGGATAACTTTTAAGAGTAGACAGAAGGTGACTCAGGAGGTTGGGCAGTGATCATGATTTTTTAGGTACTATTTCAACTGTTGGAGCCCTGGTGGTGCAGTGGTTAAGAGGTTAGCTGCTAACCAAAAGGTCGGCAGTTTGAATCCACCAGTTGCTCCTCGGAAACCCTATGGAGCAGTTCTACTTTATCCTATAGGGTTGCTATGAGTCACAATCGACTCGACACAACGAGGTTATTTCAACTATCAAGGCATAGCACCGGAATCCCGGGAAGTGCATGTCCACGACAGGAACCTGGCCGATAACTGAGAGGGATTTTATGTTCAAAGCCAAGCTGTAGATGGAACACACCTGGCATCAATCAAAAAATCAACCCCACGTATGCCTTTTCACAAAGAATGTTCTGCTAGAGATTGCTGCAAATATTTCTTAGGTCAATGTGGGTATTTACAGGGTTTCCTTCCTAGTGGCACTTACGGGTTTTAAGATCTTTCACTCTTAGCAAACCTTTTTATATAACTGATATTTTGAGGTGGTTCCTCTCCTTTGTGTGGACTCTCTGGTGGATGCAAAGGCTGGTGCTCTGGCTGAAGGCCTTGCCACACTCGTCACATTTAAACGGCTTCTCTCCGGTGTGCACTCTCTGGTGGATGCAGAGGCTGGAGCTCTGGCTGAAGGCCTTCCCACACCCACAACACCTATAGGGTTTCTCGCCCGTGTGCACCCTCTGGTGGATGCAGAGGCTCGAGCTCTGACTGAAGGCCTTGCCACACTCATAGCACTTATAGGGCTTCTCTCCGGTGTGCACTCTTTGATGCATGCACAGGCTGGAAGTGTGCCTGAAGGCCTTGCCACACTCTTCACATTTAAAGGGCTTCTCTCCTGTGTGTACTCTCTGGTGCATGCAGAGGTTTGAGCTATTACTAAAGCCCCGTCCACACTCACTGCAGACGTAGGGCTTCTCCCCTGTGTGAACTCTCATGTGGATTTGGAGATGTGAGCTCCAATTGAAGGCTTTGCCACACTCGTAACATTTATAGGGCTTCTCCACCGTGTGGATTTTCTTGTGTCTATTTAGTTTGGTTACAGTACTAAAATCTTTACCGCAATCATCACATTTATAGACCTTCTCTCCCGTGTGGTCTCGCCAATGGATATGAAGTTCTGATATATGGAAGAAACCCTTATCACACTTGTCACATTTATGGGGCTTCTCAGCTGTGTGAATTTTCTGATGCATAAAAAGATCTGCTCGCTCAGAGAAGAATTCCCTACACATGGGGCACTTGTAGATCATGTTTCCTATTTGGTATCGTGATTGAGAGGAGAAAATTTCCTTACAACTACTCTAGTTACAGGGTTACAGGTTGCTAGTTCATAAAGTCTCTTATTTGGCCATCTTGGCAGTTTATCTCAGGCTTGCTCCAGTCAGTAAGTTTAAGGTCAGCCTAAGCTTTTCCCTGCCTGTCTTTCTATGGAAGGCTTCTTGCTGCATAGTGTTTCTCACTCAGTACTATTACGAATTATAAAGTGACATTTAGTTCCACACAAATCCTATAACTCATTAACATAGAACTTCCTGTTAGATCCTGAGTTGTCAACATTCCAAGGGGCTCCCAAGGTGCAAACCTTTGTGTTTTTAAGCCCCTGGACTCTTCCTCTTGTACAGCAATCTCGTGCTTCTCACTCCCAGAAAAAGGGCTGCACAGTGTCCCCTGCGGTCGAGAGTGAGGTGCTGCTGGCTGGCCTTGGTCCCCTGCAGGCTCCCCTAGAAGAGTCAGTCTGACATTCTGCTCCCTACTCATCAGACAGGAGCCTCTCCAGGAAGCAAGCTCCTCAGGGGCCTGGTGCGTCGCCAATCCTTCTTTCTGAAGCTTCTTTACGTGGGTACCACTCCAGTCCCCTATGACAGAAAAGTTAATTAATTAATTAAAAATGTCTTTTTGTCTAGAAATGGCTGTTGAGCCATAATTAATCTTGTATAAAAGGACAGCAGTAGCACGAACCTGTTTTGATCTTGAAAAAGAAGCTCTCTTATCTTCCAGAGAGATGTGTCACGTGGATTTGCAGGTCTGAAGAAGAGAATTTGTAGATATCATGCTCCTGTTAATAACCCGAGTACATTATCCAATCACAAGCACTTATTGTAATTATTTGAACAATGTCAAGGAGAATATTATTAAAAAGGAAATCCTCAGAAGATCTACATGTGGGGAAGAAATCCGCTGTCCTGCATCAAGGAACAACAAGGAAAACCCACAGGAACTTCACAAAAGTATCATGTTGCTGCTTTTGGACATAAAACATCACCTCTGAGTTGCCTTCTACTCTATATTAAAGAGTAAGTATGTGATATAATGATATATCACATCCATAATAAGAACAAGCATGTGATATAGCCTATCAAATGTTATTCTTCTGCTTAACTGTCCTCATGGTTTCCTGATGTACTTAAAATAAACCCAAAATCCTTACCCTGAAAAACAAGGGCTGCAGGAGCGTGCCCGCACTCTCCTGGCCTTGCTCACTGCGCTCCTGCCGCTGACTCCTTTCTCAAATGCTCTACGCTGTTTCCTGCCTTGGGGCCTTTGTCCACGCTGTTCCCAGCACTGGAGATGCTCTCTTCCTTGCTCTGTGTACAGCGTCAGTGTCAGTGTCTCCTGCCCTACAAAGGAAGCCTCTAGCTAGTCTCTATTTTAACTTCGTTTATTCCTTCAAAGCACATGAAACTTGCGATTATGTTATGTGTTCCTTGGTTTTTGATCTGCGTCCTGCACTAGAATGTCAGGGCCACGAGGGAGGGAACGTTGGGTGCTGCTCACTGTGATATTTTGATAAAGGGGAGATGTTCCATTTGTATTTGTTGAGTGACTCTACAGAGTAATTTATGACCCCCCCTCATCCCACAGAAATATCCTGCCTCATTCTGGTGTAGCAGATGAAGGCACATCTCCCACTGCCTTATCACCAGTCTCTGAATAACCTACCTGGGACAAAATGTACAAGAAATACAATGGCAAGGAGATAAAACAAGAAACTAGATCCCAAAATAAAAAATCTGGAATCTCCTTGATGTTTAGGACCACGTCTTAGCAACCTTTTCATCTCTTGTATTCCATACTCAGGAAGTGATGCTTGAATTAATTAACGAATTGGGATCAACCGATCTTCTTAACAGGAAATGACATATGCACCTGGGGGAGTATTCATGGAGGCCATGTTTGCCCTAGCAAAAGCACAGGCAACCCAGCTGTCCATCCTTTGGGGACTGGCTGACTAAAACGATGGTACTTCCTCACAGTGAAATGCGGTCAGCCATTAAAAAAAGAATGAGGACGATATGAAGTGAATCCAGGTAAGACAGTGAAGTAGAAAAAAATCAACGTACAATATAGTATGCTACCTTGTGTGTAAAAAAGGGAAGGGCTATAAAGACACTTATATATTTATTTATATGTATAAAAATACACATGGAGAAAGATGATCCAAAACTTAATTTAAATGATTAGCTGCAGAGGAGGATGAAATAATAAGACTTGTCAGAATATACCTTATAACGAGTTATGACTTTGTAAACATGCAGGAGGGAACTCCCATTGGCCAAAAAAGGGACAACTGCACATCAAAAAGGAATAGTGAACACAGTTGATGGAGACACATGAAGTATACAAAACCCCATAAGTTCATAACGATTATAAGGGAGGGAATTGAGGGAGAGAGACAGGAAGAGATACAGGCAGGCAGGGAGAGACAAAGAGACTCAACTCATCTGACAAAATTGGAAGTAACTAGAGCACTGACTTTTTCCCCTGAAAACTGGCAATTAGAAGGAAAGAATCAGGCATTTATCCTACCTTTCCTCTATGAACTATCCTTCACAGTAATCAAACAACACTGCTAACAGCAATCACGTGTAACCCCACTGAAACACCGGATTCAGACCACAGTAAGAAATGGGTGAAAGCAGGAGACAAAAGGTCGGTCAGGAACGTGACAAGGCAAGGCCTGGCTGTCACCACTGGCCCACTGACCAGTCTTAGCACAACTAGCAGAGGTGCAGGCAGACCCCGTGTACCTCCTCACATGATGCGATATGACATGTACAGCTCCACCTCGAAGTCTTGCCCAAAGACCCAACCAGAAACTATTCAAGTCTCCAGAGCTAATTTTCATTTACAGGAACTGGGGGGATGGAAGAACTCCCAGGAAACAAGCAGGAAATATCACAATGGGAACCAGTCTACAGGACAATTGAGGCATTTTTGCAGCAAGTAAATGGCACGGGGTGGGGGGGGGCTGCTCTAGATGAAAGAGACTGTAAATGTAACAATCAAATGTAACCTGAGGACCTTCTTTGGAATCTGATTCAACTAAACCAGCCACTACAAGGAGATGACTGAGGGCACCTGATTAGGTATCAGATTAAATCAAGGAGAACTGTTAACTGTATTAAGTGTAATAATGGCATTGTGGTTATGTAAACAAACGTCTATACTTTTTAGAGATGTATACTGAATGAAGTATGTAGGAATGACATGACATGCCTGAGAAGTGCTTTAAAATAATTCAGGGGGGCAAAAGGAAAGTAAAAAAGGGTGGGTAAAATAAATGTGGCACAACTGTGATAACTGCTGGATGTAGGTGATGGATAAATGGATAAAACAGCTCTCTAGCTTCACGTACTTTTGAAATTTTCATGATAAAAAATATTTTTACAGCTGAAAGGACATTCTTTTCCTACTCCTCTTGTAATGACAAACAATCCCTGAACCAGGCACATGAGAGGTGAAACTGTGACCTAAACAAACATACCCCCACCCCCCCAACGGCAGTCACTTCCCCAGTCCATCCTGAGCACCCAAGACATGCACCCACAGATACTGCTGGAGGTCACAGAGAAGGCTGTGGCTTGAGGGGTGGTGAGCAGCTGAGGGTCAAGGGAGCAACACCCCACGTCTGCTCCTGCTTCCCTCGTAAGTTAGGGTAAGACACACTCTGTAGTTCTCCCACCAACATCATCTGAAAATCAAGCAGGAAGGGCCAGGACACTCCCCAGGCTGGCCTCAGAAGAAGCCAACTCTGCTCAGAAAGGGGGTAAACTCAACGGAAAACTCAGTGCGTTAGATTCCTTCGGACAAGTCTTATTATTTCATCCTTGTCTTCATCCTCCTCTGCAGCTAATCATTTAAATTAAGTTTTGGATCATCTTTCCCACATGGCCTCCCAACAGCTTCCCTTGAGGAGGAATCAGGCACTGCATTCTCTGCAGGGAAAATGCTGACACATCCAGAAATCTCACTGCCATGGCGAGGCTGGGGGTAGGCTACATTCTGCAGGAAGAAGGAAAAAAAAAAAAAAGCCAAAAAACTCCATGTGATCAACCAAAGAACAGAAGGATAAACAACAACAAAGGATCACCACTGTAGATGTACCCTGAAATGGCACCTGTCCAACTGCTTCTGTACACATAAAGGAGACCATCAGCACCACAGGGAAATGAGGAATGTCAAATATTCAATATGGAGGCGGAGTGGATAAACTGGAGCCGGTGTTCCTGAAAGCTGACTCTGATCTGGACTGTACTCAATACAGGCTGGCTATGAACTCAGGACTAACCATCCTGACTTGGTAGGAGACAGAAATCCAGTTACACTCCTAAAGGGGTTGTCAGTGACAATGTCTCAACAGCAGACCTGGCATGCAGACAGTAAGCCACGCTGCTGAGCAGAGGCTGCGAGCCTCGTGTGCGCCATACTTAACGAGACGATGACCACAACGCAAGAACCATGAAGGCAAACACAGAGCGGTAAAACCTCCCAGGCCAGACCTGTGAAGACATAGGCTCACAAAGGGGACTCCAGGGAGAAGACAGCGGTTCCAGAGAGACTCGGCAGTGCTGACAGACTAGCGGTGGAGCCATGAGGGCCAGGGGTCTGGCTTGGGTGATGGGACAGCGATGCCTTCCACAAGAGAGGGGCAGGGAAGAAGAAGAGCAGATGTTGCATGAATGAAGTTCAACCAAAATAGTCGAATAGGAAGAAACGGATCTAAAAATATATTCCCACTTGATCTTATAACTTCAGGCAGGTTAGTCACCTAGTTTGCATCTGTCTTCTTCTGGTATCATGGGATGATGGAGCTGTTCCGGCCTATCACAGGAGAACGCTGTCAGAACGGGAAGGAGCGCGCTCTGGAAATGAAAGGCTGGACAGTGTATCTGTATGACATATTTATTTCCCTTTAGAAAATGTTGACTGCACATGGGCTCACATTACAGCTGACACTGTGATCACCCAATGTGTGGCCTGGAGGCGCCCACAAAACCAAACTACAGCAATAAACTGGCTTCTCAAGGGAGGAAGAAAAGCAGATGGAGGTAGATGAAAGGAAAACAACAAAAAGCTGACGGCTGACATATACATTCCACGGATCATTATTCAGCCATAAAGAGAAGCTTTCTGAAGCTCTGACACATGCTGTGACATGGATGAACCTGGATAACACGATGCAGAGTGAAAGAAGCCAGACACAAAAAGACGAATATTGCGTGCTTCTACCGACATGAGCTGTCTACAACAGGCAGATGCATAGTGACAAAAGTGCATTCGTGGCTACCAGGGGCTGGGGCGAGGGGAGAGTGGGAAGGAATTACTGAAGGGGTACTGAATGTCTGAGTGATGAAAAACTTCTGAAAGTATATACGGGGAAGGTTGGACAACATGGTAAATACAATGAATGCCACTGAATTGTACCCTTAAAAATGGTTAAAATATCCATTTTTTTGGTTATATATATTTTACCACAATAAAATTAAAAATAAAAAACTGATAGTTTTTGAACCTGGGTGATGGGTACACAAAGGTACATTGTGGATTTTTTTTCTACGTTTGAGTCTGTTTGAAATTTTCCATAATAAAAAGAAAAGCAGCAACTCCTTGCTTACAAGATTCCTATAATGAAGATATTCAGCAAAAGGAAAGATATACAACAGCTTCTAAACTGGAGCTAAATAAACTTTGCCTCCATTAACACAAGTCAGCCACGCAAACCACGGCACATCATCACACAGGAA